TATTAAATGATTTAATTAAATAAAAACATTTCTCAAATATTAATGTTTATTCAAAATTGAAGGTTATTTTTTCAACATAAACCATTTATGAACAGTTTTGAACTCTAAAAAGCAAAAGTGCTTTTATCAGTTATTGTAATAATTTTTCTAACTTAGTTTTGAACATTATGTATCTCTTTCTAGACATTAAATTACGGTTAATATTTAAGACTAGTTTTCCCGAGTTGTTTAAGAATGCATTATTACAAAAAAAAAATAATACATTGTTTTGTTTTAACATAATCAATAACAATTAAATACAACTAACTATTTTAAATTGTTTCAGGTTTTAATATAATCTGAACAATTAATTAGAGTTACTTTGGAATATTNGGTTTTAATATAATCTGAACAATTAATTAGAGTTACTTTGGAATATTGTTTAGAAACTTTAAATATTAAGATATTATAAAATTTAATAGCTTTCAAATTCCACATTGCAAGCCCAACCTTAATATAAATGAATTGATATAAGATAATATAACACAGTGTTTTGTCAAAAACTTTAAGTAGTGAATTCAAATTCAACATCTCTTTCTATTCAAATAATTTTTAAAAATATCTCCACAATACCAGAAAATGTATGATTGAAGAAGTTTTTTTTTCACAGAAAAAACTAATTTTTGTATTTTAAATTATTTTAGGTTTAAAATTGTTAGTATAAAATTCAATCTTAAAAAAAATATATTCAGAATTAAAGTATTGTACTTATTATATTTAAACTCCTTGGCAGTCATCTATTTGATTCTAAAAATTGTATTCACCCGAGTTAATCTAATATCCCTCATAACATGCATATCTTAGGTTCCCATTTTCAATTAAATAGGCTGGTTAATATACATGTATAAATACAATAAAATCAATAAATTATTAGTTGTTAATTATTTTTGATGAAAACACAATATTAAAATATAAAAAATTTAAATATAATATCCAGTCATATTTTTCTATTTAAGATACCCAAATTGATAGTTTTTAAAATAAGAAAGAAACAAATTGAAAAAAAATTTTTTTATAAAATTTGTATTTATGAAAAATTAAATTTTTTTTCAAATTTCTAATATAAAATACCTACTACATGGTGACTAACAAAGTGTTGATTTAATTTATTTGATAATAACTTTCTTATATTAGTGATGCTTAGTATACTGGCTAAATTAAAATGTACTAGTTTTCAAAATATTACGCAAATTGAACATAAGATGTTTAATGTAAATTTTTGTAATTCTTTCAGAGTTATACAATTTTTAGTTATTAATGCTATACAAGATAAAAAATAAAATACGCTTAATAATGAATC